CGCGCACATGTGTCAATCTAGGCACGGATCGAGTCTATAGTCTGTGTGTGCATATCTTTAAATATTATGTTCACTAGGATGAGTCGTAACGAGGATATTCCATCACTGCCATACAGTCAAACACTTGTATGCAGAAACCCTAAGTTCAAGATGAAAATGCCCAAATGATCAATACTGACACTTCTCAATTCTTCGTTATAGAGAATTCCCAGGAGTTTCCCATGGGGATGTGGAAGAAGTCCGCCATTGTTTACGACAATTTCTGAAATACAGTATCATGAAGACATGCATCTAAATTTCAATGTGTGTTGTTCATACGCTTATAAACGTCAGTTTCGTGGTCATGTGACCGGCCTCTTGACATGACATGTGACTTCATGACATGTGAACTTCACATTAAAACATTATATTAATGTGTTAAAAATACATGCAGGTCAACAGATTCATCAGTGAAATGACTAATATTTGATGCCGCTGTTAGCACTATTCTAGCAATATCCCATACAGGGACATAAGACATTTGCTTCATGCATTTCCCACGTGTGAAATCGGACATTGACCATCGGGAAGAACACCGACCTCTAGGGTACCACACTGCCCAACAGATACATAAATGTTACTTACATTTGAGCGATATTTTCTTGTGCTTCTGTGCGTCTTCAGTCCTCGTCCAAAGGTCTGTTTTCCCTGTAAATATGAAAGGTCAACACCAGAACGATTATCTCGATTATCCGACGAAGCAGATTCCATTGGTTGTAAAAGGAACAATAGCCTTGAAAATTATATGAATGGATCACTGAAAAACAACAGATAAAGTTTAACATGCCATTGTAAAAGTTCAAATAAAATACAACAAGAGCCTTTATTATTTCTTGTCATCTAACTTATAATTAGACAAGGCACGTAATGGATGCTAAATCATGCTGGATGTTTAGGTACATGTATATCAACATGTTAGAAATAAATTGTATCAATTTACCTTCTTTTTCTGCTGCATTGTCCAAATCTGGAAGGTAAAATGTCACTTTGGAAATGAAATACGACGCTTGTGCGTGCTGATTGGCGTATATCGTCAAAATAATGTCAACCTATTATATTGTATTCAATTTCTTCATATGGACGGTGGAGTACCCTAGTGGTTAAAACGCTTGCTGGTCACGCTGAAGACCCGGGTTCGATTCCCACATGTGAAGCCTATTTCTGGTGTCCCTCGCCGCAATATTGCTGGAATATTGATGAAAGCGGCGTAAAACCATACTCACTCACTCACTTCCCAATAAAGTCATACATGATCATGTCATAGAATGCCACTTATAAGTTCTTACCTGAAAGATGCAGGCGGCCAAACTTGTCATGACGTATTTCACCATACGAAATGTCTGTGTACAGTTTTCCTTTGATTGCTTCTGTCATTTTCCTGTTTGTATGTTCATTGTGAAAATGTAGAAGCAATCGCAGGACAAACATGTAGTTTCCCGGCGACATCGCATCTAGAAAGTAGTTGTTCCGGTTCATTTCCCTGTGCAGCTGCTCTTCAACTTGTGAATTTATTGAGCCCTTCATTTCGGGAACAAACGTTATACGCCTTAGGAGTTCCTCATCTGATTTTGTATTCCCTTCATGAAACCTATCCAGCAAACAGAACGTTTCATTTGAGGTTGGCAAATCATAGTCGGAGACTGGTGCTACTGTCACCCATTCCTTCATGCAAGGTATACTCTTTGAAAATACCCCCTCCTTAGCTTTTTTTATGTTGTCTGCAGTCGCTTCACCCAAGCGTCCTTCGTTGGGCGAGAACATGTTCTTCCGCCGCTTGTTACCATGGCGTGACATCATTGGGGCTACGTCACTAATGATGACTGGCGGTTGTCTTGACATAGATAGAATTATGTCGACATGGTCTCTGACACTTTCAGGCCTCAGAATAGCTTTGAATGCGTACACTATTCTATGGGGGCAGGACGCTGATACCCATCCACCTGAATGAACATTAACATAGTGATGGGACACATTTGGTTTAACCTTGCTTTTAATAGTATACTATATACTCCAGTAGTCAGATTGTGGAGTTTCAAGTTACAAAATGACATTCCATTAACAGACTCAGTGCTGATTCTTATGCAGAGGGGGCTGGGGATGGCCTATCTTGAAGACATTTAACGAAAATAATATTACCAAGCAAAAGCAATTGTGTTACAAAGTAAGTAGTTATTTTGCATCATTTAGTCTGGCACTTGAATGTGGGAACACACACTATATATGTTTTATTCATCATTTTAAATGCAATAGTAGGCATAATTACCAGAATGGCCCCATATGCTTGAAAATAACTTGTTGAAGGTTGATTTGCTTTTCAACTTTTCCTTCAAGCTGTTGATCATCTCTAATTTGGTCCCTTTGGCGTCTACTTCCATCTTTGTACACCAGTGCCGTACATCCAGAACCTACATGATATGATATAGAAAATGTCGAAAACATGAGTGACTATGCTTATCATATCATATCATATCATATCTCAATTTGTAATATTACTACCTACGCATATCAAGATTGCAAGAATTATACAAATGTGCCTAGTTGATATCAATAAGGCCTTTCGATTATGTCATATTTACCTTCTTTTCACATAACATTTGGATCAGGAAATCTTCAGTCAGTTCCTTATCCCCTGTATCAAAATCTGTATCTCGAAGATGGGTTCTGAGAGATCGAACTTTTTCAGCTTCAGTGTTGAAAGCATTTTCATCTTTTCTGGCTAATCCAATGAAAGGAGCCCAGTTGTCATAACTAGGTGTAACACGCCCGACGTTGGCTGCTTCTGTCAGGGAATGAAATGATAAATACATTATAGTGTATATAAACAATATCCTTACAGTAACTTTAATTTTAGTCCCCCCCCCCCCTCTCTCTCTCTCTCTCTCTCTCTCTCTCTCTCTCTCTCTCTCTCTCTCTCACTCACTCACTCTCTCTCTCTCTCTCTCTCTCTCTCTCTCTCTCTCTCTCTCTCTCTCACACACACACACACACACACACACACAGACAAGATGAGTCATTTATAATACAATATGAGGATTTGCACCTTTTCCAAAACCCCGAAGTAAAATAGACGCCTCCACCGTTTGGCTCCAAAACACATCCATGTTGATTCCATCTGTAGCTGTTTCTGTCCCTGGTACTTGTGACACTGTAAGCAATACATGTTTACCATAAGAGACGAGAGAACAGGGATTAGGAAACATCATTATGGGATATTGTTTGTGATCAACCATGAGATAATGGACCTTACATTTTTGCTTTCCATTTTTACATTTTGAAACTACATCGTTAATGCGCTTATACATTTCTTAGACACTGGAAATTATAAATTAGACTTACATGCTAATGGAAATGCACATTTCCTATTTGCATCTGTCACCAGGCAACATGGAAAACGGCCACAGATGTCACAGGTAAAGTTGTACTTGTGATCGCACATTGCCTCAAAGTGCAGATATCCCTGTAACATTTTGTCTCCGGGAAAATGTAAGCCGGAATCTTCTGATAAGATATCGGCAGCCCTTCCAACGGCTGTATGATTCTGAAACCATTAAGCAGGCGAAATTGATCACATTCATTATGCCGATATTTTAAACTAATCCTAAGTTAACAGTCAAAAGTGTTTAAAGTCCGAATGTCACCGGCCCACATCAAGTGCATATATCAACAAACAATGCGCCATACAACAATCAGATATCACGATCACATAAATATGCAAAGTGTTGTTTTGGAGAAGGGAGTCGTCCATAAACTAACTAAATTAGGTATAATGTACCTTCAAGTTAACTCTGAACCAGTGGCACAGGCGAACTGACAGGAACACGTGGTCGTCAAAATTGTGTATACCATCCCTGTGCTCTTGGTACCTGTAGAAGTGACCGCACGCTTTGCACTTCTTTATGATAACTGATTGCAAATGGTGGCACTGATAAATACCTACATTGCCCCTTGCTGCAACACCCAAAGCTAAATTGCAATTTTCATGTTCACATTGTATCTGCTGTGTGACAGTGTTCATTTGTACATGAAGTGGGTAATCTGGACCGATACTGGACTTGCTGATCATGTAGAGACCGCGGTGTTTATCAACGCATATTCCACGTTGGTATGACTTGGTTTTCACTTCATCTCGTGCATTGTGTGTCTCAATATGTCTTTTAATGTTTTTCTTAGAGATCATTGCATTGCAGACAAAACATGTCACTTTCGGAACTTGCTCTCTCTTCACTTTTTGGATTTTAGGGGACTCTGCTGAAGTTCTTTCCTCAGAAGCTGTCTGGTTTGTTGTCAGAACAAAAGGGCAAACCGTGGTCGTGAGTCGGACAAATGTGAACTTTCTCCGGAAGAGTTTACCACACGGGCAGTGGTAATGGCACCGGTCTTGTTTCGGAGTACAATCCAAAAAGCAGCTTAACACCCATAAATCTGCAAGGACACAAATACGGATTATTATACCGGACCGCCTCCGTGGTCTAGTGGTAGAACGTCCGCCCGGTGAGCGGAAGGTCCGGGGTTCGATCCCCGGCCGCGTGATACCAAAAGATGGTACTTGTTGTTAACATGTCTGGCGCTCGGCATTAAGGTGCTTAAACAAGGACTGGTCGGCTGGGAGTCAGTATGCTGTCTCTGTGTGGGGTATTCATGTTAAACTGTGGCATGGTATCTCAGTGAGCTAGCACTATAAAACGGCATCAGTCCGGACCAGTACAAGCAGCCACTCACACAAACACGAGCATGCACGTCGCTAAATAGTGCAATAATCTTCGAGGCGACGTTAAACCCCATTTTACCTCACCTCACCTCACTATTATACCAGATAAAATGGTGCGTTGGGCTTGTGAGGTTGTGTAATGGACACCGTTTTACACGTATGCGTAATGCCACGTATACGCTAGGTACATACCACGCAATATTAGATTAATAACAAACACCAATTTATACATACCCCCAACTTTGACGGCATGTTGTGTGTGCTTGTGTATGTGTCCTTCCTTGATATTGTACCGTCGTGACGTTGATTCAGGACACAGTTTGCACTGGAGTATTCCATCAACTTTAGCCAGTAAACTCTTACATGTGCCGAGCTCTTTTGTGTGCCATATGTCTTCATTCTGTAGACAAAGGTAGAAAGTGTAAAATCAACAAGTTTTCAAAAGAAGTCCTATTTTTCTATTGCTTGAGACTCCCGGACACTGAGTGGTGTAAAGCCACTTACATTTATGAGTACTAAATGAAACATAACGCGTCGATATCCATTATCTTCGCCGTGCATTTATGAAAACCTGTAACCAACTGAAGGTAGGGTGCTACAATGTCTAGGTTACATGGCCACTGTAGATAATAATACTCACGTTTGTTTCACAACGTCCATGCCTGGAAGAAATAAAATAATGACAATATATAAACATTTGAAGAAATGTGTACAACCATTAGAATCCTTAAATTTATGTTAACACTGTTACCAGTTTTTAGCACAAGGTGTAGGCAGTTTAAACTAGAACCAATGTCTTTATAACTAGGAATATATGCTCTTGGTTTATGTATATCACAATTCCATTAACGAGTTTCAGCCATCTCTTTCTATAACCTTATATAGTACGAACAATATAGTTAACATATACCATTACTTTCTTATTTGTGTGTTAGTGAGTGAATGAGTGCGTGCGTTCGTGTGTTCGTGTGTTCGTGTGTGTGTCTATGCAAACGTCTCAATTGAAATAGCCTGAAAACTTAGTGGCACATCTGTGAAGCTCACATGTTTCGCATAGAAAAGGTTTAATATACGGGTTTGAAATATTATAAATATTATTATCTCTTTCCTTTACCATTTAGGCATAAAATAACTTTAAAACAGTCGCTCTATACCCCCTTTTAGAAACTATATTGCTTCCCTTTACTACATGGGGTTGTCTATGCAAACGTTCTTATGGACATAGCCTGAAAACTAAGTGGCACATCTGGGAGCCTCGCATTTTTCGCATCGAAGTAGTTTAAAATACGTATTTGAAATACTATTTTCTCCTTCCTTAACTGTTTAGGCATAAATAACGTAAATGTATTCGCTCTACACCCCGTTTGGAACGCTAAAATACGGGTTTAAAATAGTATTAGTTCTTTTCACATTGATTTAGGCATCAAATAACTTAAAAAGAGTTGTTTAAAAACGCACTTTGGGAAGATATATGGCTTCGCTTTGACACGATCATCGATCCCGATTGCGTGAAGAGATGCGCATCATATTAAATACTGGATTGTCTGGTCCAGACTCGATTATTTACAGACCGCCGTCAAATAGCTCGAATATTGCTGAGTGCAGCGTTAAACAACCAAACAACCAACCAACCCAACCAACACGAGGGGCTGTCTATGCAAACGTCCCTTTGGAAATGCCCTGAAAACGTAGTGGCACATCTGGGAGCCTCGCATTTCTTGCATGCAAATAGTTTACAATACGTGTTTGAAATACAATGTTCACCTTCCTTAACTAGTTAGGCATAAAAAAACGTAAACGGAATCGTTCTGTGTCCCGTTTGGAAAACTATATTTGAAATACTATTTTCTCCTTCCTTAACTATTTAGGTATAAACAAACGTAAAAGGAGTCTCTCAATACCCCCTTTGGAACACTATATGGCTTTCCTTTAACACGGGGGAGATTATCTACACAACATCCCTTTGGAAATAGCCTGAAAACTTAGTGGCAAATCCAGGAGCATGGAAATAGTTTCAAATGCGGGTATGCAGCATTATTATCTCCTTCCTTCCATAAGAATGTTTAATGACATAACAAAACAAAACATAACATAACATAACATAACATAACATAACATAACATAACATAACATAACATAACATAACATAACATAACATGAGAAAAAGTAATATTCAAATGAATGTATTTTACATAAAAAGAACAATAGATACTCATTTCCACTGCGCATATGATAAAGACTAAACCTAAACGCCCTTCACCCTACCGTCATTCAATACGTATTGTCCCCGACATGAAAGATACGTGGAGTGCTCTTCTTTATGAAATTTTAATATTTTACGTTTCACATGCGAGCACATACTAATCGAAAACCATTTGAAACCCATTAAACAAAACTCTGGACATATTATACCCGCAAACATGGAGAAAAGAAACGCCTCTATTTTAATAAATTACTAAAAACTAACACGTGACAATGTACATGTTTCCCAAAGTGGCATTTTGAAAGCAAATCCTGCTTCCTTTCAACGTTGCACGAAAACTTAAAAAAATAGTACGTACCTTGCAAGAAATATTTTTTTGGACATGATCCAGTCTTGAAAGTTACATAGCCCTGTTTGTGAGTTCTCAGCGCTCTGTAAATATCTGAGTCTTATTGAGAGTCTGTTGTGAGATGCCCTGGGTGTGTTAAAGGCTGACCACGGCCTAAGTTTCAAAAATCTGTAGCTAGCTGGTGTTAGCACTTTTATCATGAGGCAGGATGTTCCTTGTTTATATGTATCAGTTAGCCCTGTCAACTTCATGAACCTCATTCTTACAGAATGTCAACCGCATGCCCCATTATGGGTTTCAGGTAGTATGTGCTTATCTTTTAGGATCTCACAGAAGCACTAAATGTGTTATCCAGTTATTGCTGTGACATCTCTAACTCCCTAGAAACTCCTCTGGGATCTGGAACTTGCCACAGAATGTATCACGTCACAATAAACAAACAAGTCCCCTAACAGACCCTAAAAGGAAAGAGTCTAGAGAGTCTAGACTTCTTGTTTCCAAAAATGAAGATATTCATTCTGGATTAAGAAAGGGCTACCGAACATCAAGTAATGTATTTGTTCATAAAATATTTACTTAATAGTTTTAACAAAAAGTAAAAAGAAAAATGTATACACTTCCTTTGTAGACTTTCAAAAGGCCTCTGATTCAGTTGACAGAGCACTACCCCTAACAAAGCTATTTCACATAAAATGTCAGGAAATAGTTCTTATAAAGTGAAAATTGACGGGGCATTTCACAATCCTTTAAATCCAACATCGGCATAAGACATGGGTGCATTTTGTCTCCCAGATTATTTAATATATTCCACAATGATCGTCCACCACATATCAAACAAGAAAATAACAAAATAACACTTAATGCTTTAAACATTTGTCATTTGTTGTTTGCCGATGACTTTGTACTTTTTGCCACTTCCAAAAATTCTGCACGAGTTATTTGATGGTCTAAGAGTATTTCGTGTAACAAATAACCTAAAGATTAAAGGTGAAAAAACAAATGTTGCAGTGTTTGGCAAATCAAGTAAAATAGAAGAAACGAATACTTGGACCTTGGTTGGTGCAAAAATTCTAGTTATGGATAGATATAATTATTTATGAATAACATTTGAAGCAAATGATAAACTTAATAATAGCGCCAAACCTCCCTTGAAATAGGGTCTAGGTACTACCATAAGCTTCAGTCTACCAATAATCTACCCAAATCTGGGGTATAGACGCAACACCCCTAGTCTGAACAACTTTGATTAATTAATCCCCGAGAAACTGCGGCGCCGATGTTGTATATCCATGTTAGGTGTCAACAAAACAACACACAATTGGGCAAGGCGAGCAGAACTAGGATTCTATACTCTTATGTACACAGTACTAATATAAATTACGAATTGCTATCACTATGGTGGTTCTTCAACATAGTGAAATTCTGCTTTACCCACTAGGCTACCCGACCGCCCCGTTCCATGTGATAGGAAAGCCCGAAGTGATGCAGGTGTCAGACGTTAACCACTTCGGTGAAACCCACGAGCACGGTTGTCGTACTGACCAAATCTAGAAACATAATCGGGGCGAACCGGGATTCGAACCCACGATCATAGATTTCTGGCGTGCCCAAGGGACGCGCTTTTCTGCACAGCGAATTGCTGCGCCTCAGACGACTCGGCCAACCGTGCCCCAAAAGGTGCAAGAAAAAACTGAGGACATTCAGGACAGTTAAAAATGAAATAAGATTAGAATCATATTTCAGTCACTGTAAAATAAGAAAATATCGAGTGCACTTTTCTAAACTAGGAGTAAGTAACCATAAATTAACTATAGAACTTGGAAGACATACAAAGCCACCCACCCCACTACATCAGAAACTATGCTCTACATGTTCAACCATTAATGAGGAAAGACACTACCTACTTTATTGTATCAAACACACGAAAGAAATAAATATACTCTTTGGAAAAGTATCCACACAAAATGTAAATGTCCACAATAATGAAAACATATTATTTCACCACATCCTCTCAAATATTTAGCCATCAACATCAATTGCATATGTTTCAAATGGATGGTGTCGAGCAATAGATTCCCGTGGATCAACCTATGAGTGAGTGAGTGAGTGAGTATGGTTTTACGCCGCTTTTAGCAATATTCCAGCAATATCACGGCGGGGGACACCAGAAATGGGCTTCACACATTGTACCCATGTCGGGAATCGAACCCGGGTCTTCGGCGTGACGAGCGAACGCTTTAACCACTAGGCTACCCGACCGCCCCTGGATCAACCTATGACATTTTATGTATAATATCATCAAATCTGTACTGTTGATATTTTCTATGCATTAAATTATTTCTTTGTGTTTTCAGGTATGTATGTCTGTCTGTATATGTGTATGTATGAATTATGATGTGTTTTTTTCGGGAATGGATTATTTTCTGCAATAAATATCCTTTCCAGATACAAATAAATCAGACATAATCCTATTGTACCTATGCTGTCATACAGATCATGAAACAAATATATCCATTACAGTCCCTTCCAAGCCTATGATATTTGGCAAGTCAAGATTACTGCAGTATCAGGGTCTGTACAAATCTGCTGAAATCACAGGCCTTGTAATCATCAGTTAATCTCCAGCTGGCATTAGTGACACCACACCAAGACCTCCTGCTCCTGCTCTTCCCCTGCCACTCGAGCTCTGGCCAGACATGTGTGATGACATTGGAGACCTGGTGACATATACAACCTTACCAAGCTCCGACTGAGTCTTCACAGCCTGGAAATTGAGAGGGGGAGATACTCCAACACCCCAGTTGAAAATAGGTTCTGTCCGCACTGTGACTGCCATTCCGTAGAGGATGAAGAACACTTCCTGCTTTCATGCCCACTATATACAGACCTTAGGAGAAATCTGATGGCACTGGTAGAAATAGGCGACCCTTCCCAGACCGATAAAACAAACCTCTTAAAACACTTTATGAATCCACCAAAAGAATGGTCAAGTCTTGTTGCCCGGACTATATACCACATGTACAAGCTGAGGCCATGAGAAAATTATATTATATTCAATCCAATTAAGTGAAATAACCAGCAATAACCTAATATACATAAATGTTTATATG